GAAGCTCTTCCGGTTTTGGCTTCAAGCGGGACGGAGCTGGCTTCAGGTGGGTCCGTCTGAGTCTTCCTAGCTGTGGGTGGTTTCGGGGGGCTTGGCCGGATACTCGCACTGGCAACCGAGCCGGCCAGGGCGAAGGTGTCGTCTGCTGCGCGGTCCCGGGCTCGGCGGAGAGTGCGACCTAGGGGAGGAAGGGACGGCGACCCAAGGGCTGGCGGGTTGAGGCCCGGCGTCGCGACCGGTTCTCACGGAGTGATTGGGTTTTTAACGCCCGTGGGGCCCGCGCGTTGGGCAGATTGACCGGTGTGTGAAGAGGCTCAAGCTGCTGCCTAGGAATCAGCCCTGGGGTAAAGAACGGGCGGTTGTTTGGGGCATTTACGGTCCGATGAACACTCTGAGCCCTCCGCCCTCAGCAGCCTTTTGGATGAGGGCGGCGGGGGCATTTCAGGTGCCCCCCCTTCAGCCGGCAGGAGCTACTGCCAGAGTTTCTGCTCTGGTCCCTGTCTTCCTTGAGACCCCAGTCCTTCTCCAGGTTCCCATTTAGGGAAGCAAGCCTTTGATAAACGTTACCTACTAACTGTGACCTGCGTAGTGCAGTCCCTTCTTGTAAGTCATCCATCCCATGATGTTCAGCACAGCGTGTTGTGTGACGTTCAGACCCTTGAACTTGTAATAACCGTCAATAATAAATAGTAACTTTAGGTGCTTGCTGATGCAGACCGTTAGGTATCTGTCTCCTTTAGTCTTCTGGGCTCCATTTTGTAGGTGCTGTTACTATCCGTAATTTGTAGCTGAGGACCCGAGGCATTAAGTAAGGAACTAGCCCCCCAGCAAAGCAGATTGTAAAAGCATAGACAGAATTTAAATCCGGATCTCATTGGTGCCAGAATCCGAGTTCTTAATTATCATTCTAGATTGTTTGCTAAGAGTATCATTCCTTTCAAATCTGTCAGAGGGAATCTCGAGGTCAGCCGTGGAGGTGATGTGTATAAATTAAGAAATACGTTTCAGGGCTGTCGAGATGGCTCAACTGGTAAAGGTGCTTTTTGTCCACCTTGAGCACTTTGAGTTGGGCCCCTGAGACCCATATGGTGGAAGAGGAGAACCTGGCCTTGAAAGGTTGTTCTCTTACCCTAGAATTAGTGGTGACCCTCTCTCTCCCTCCCTCTCTCTCTCTCTCTCTCTCTCTCTCTCTCTCTCTCTCTCTCATACACACACACACACACACACACACACAATCGTTTAAATAGTTTGTGAATGCGCTTGTGAACTGCATTGTAAATTTTATTTTTCTATTGCAATATTTTTTTTCCTAACTAGGCTTATGCTTTCTAGTTTCTTACATAAATGTTTAAATCACCGAAATAATTTCTGGTGAATATAATCAAAATGCATTGTATGACATCCTCAAAGAATTAGTGAATATACTTTTAAAAAGTTATTATTATTTTGTTTGTTTTTTCGAGACAGGATTTCTCTGTGTAGCTTTGGAGCCTATCCTGGCACTCACTCTGGAGACCAGGCTGGCCTTGAACTCACAGAGATCCCCTGCTTCTGTCTCCCTAGTGCTGGGATTAACGGCTTGCGCCACCAACCCCGAAAAAGTTATTTATTTTAAAAAATATTATGTAGATCATTTATTGGGGGTTGGGTAAGAAAATGTAGTACCTTGAATAAAATGTTTCTAAATCTGTGTGTATTGGTGTTCTGTTAAGTTTTGACCGTGAGAACTATTTTCTTTTTGTCCAAAAAGCCCCAGTAGTGGCTAGGGAAGAATTGCTGTCTACTGTCAACTAACAGTTTCTGACATCTGAGGTGGCAAAAATAATTTATCAACTAATGGTTCTTGTCTTTGGTCATGCCATACATCTGTGTGCTTTAACCCCCCTTGCTAACAACATATTACTTATTTCTTTTAGGCTATTCCAAAGGTTTTACTCAAACATGGATATCAGACCAAATCACACGATTTATATCAACAATATGAATGATAAAATTAAAAAAGAAGGTATGGTTTGTTTGTTTTGTTTTTTGTTTTGTTTTTAATCCCAGGTGCACGCCTGGGATTAAAGGCGTGCTCCACCAGTGCCCGGCGAAGGTATGTTCTTTTAAAAATACTTGTTCACAACTAAAATGTGTTGGTTCACCTATCTTAAGAATGTTTCTTAATGTCTGATCTAGTCATCTTTCATTTGTTCTGCAATGGTTTATCCCATTTTTACACAACTCGAAGGTTTTTTAATATAAGAACATGCAGGGACTGAAGTGCTTTGAATTGTTTTAACTCATAAATGGTTTCAAATAACTATTTAAATTAGATGGCTAATGAGAATAGTTTGGATGTTTCTTTTTTCAATTTACTATAAATGAATGATAGAGGTAGTCATTGTATTGCTATTTTATGAAGAACTTAGTCATTGTTTCGTTCACAAATTCCTTCTTATTTGTACAGAATTGAAGAGATCCCTGTATGCCCTGTTTTCTCAGTTTGGACACGTGGTAGATATTGTGGCTTTAAAGACCATGAAGATGAGGGGGCAGGCTTTCGTTATATTTAAGGAACTGGGTTCATCCACAAATGCTTTGAGGCAGTTACAAGGATTTCCATTTTATGGTAAACCAATGGTAAGCTAATCCTATTATTTCTGCTTTAATCACTATTATTGAATGATACAGTAGGTTTTAAGTATGAACTTGATGCTAGGCTATTGCTTTCTGTTTTGTTTAGAGAAATTTGGACTTTTCTTATATAGGTATTTTGTTTGTTTTGAGACAGTCTCTGATAACCTAGACTAGCCTTAAACTTGTTATGTAGCCAATGCTTAATTCTCCTGACTTTATCTGCAAGTGCTGTGATGATAGTTGTGCACTACCACAGAAGGCTTATGTAGGTATTATAAAAATACACTACTAGAGCTGAATTACTAATGAACTTATTCTAGTTAAAATGAGCAAAATTATATTATGATGTGCATCATTGAAAAATAGGATGGCAACATAGACAAGATTCTTCAAAACATTAAGGTAGCATAGTGATAACATGCATGGTTTCTCAGCACTAGGGAGTGGAGGCAGGAGGGTCAGAAGTTCAAGGATATCCCGGGCTACATGAGACTCTCTCAGTTAGGATTGGGAGGTCCAGAGAGCATGTGTGGAACTCAATTAGGAGGCCAATAGGTTTAAGACTGGGTGATGGTGGATTGGAAAATCTTAAGTATGAGGACATAGGCTGGGCCCTGAGTATAGATTCATATTGCCTTTCTGCTGAGATTGGAACATCATGAAAAGAGGTCTTGGAGAGCCAAAGCCTGTGACTTAGAGGATCTGACTCCTCATTTGTGTTCTGCTACTAGCAGAGGCTGCATCTCTATTCGCTTCCACCACCACTAAAATATGAGCAAGTTGAATCATTGGTTTAATCCAGACATCAGCAGAAACTTCAAAGGACTAGATATATATGTCAAGCTTTGCTGACCACGTAAAGTTTTGATACCTATTGCTTTCTTTGTGTTTTGAACCTTTTAAAATTGTGTTAAAATAATTGTTAACTCACAAGCTGTACAAAAACAGGTCATGATCTGGATTTGGTCTTAAGGCTGATAGTCTTCCCTTCATATCATGGAGAAGGACTGAGCATGAGGCCAATCTTATTCGTTTAAGGTGTATTCTTGTAGCTAGTGGTAGCATCAGCACTTGGAAACTAATAACATTTAGTATGATGCTTTTTATATACTAGGGGGGGAACACATTTTCCAGTGGGGTCGGGCAGTAAGATTGCATGCCTCCCTAGCCAGATGCTTCTCTGTCATAGCTCTTTATGCAGACAGCAGTGTAGGCAGTGCACATCCAACTGAATGGGTGTGGCTGTGCTCCATCCAGCCCTACAGTGTTAGCTGTCAGCCTCATTTGGGAGCCTTTGTCCTGTATCACTGTTTCCCGAGTTTCAGTAAGGTGAAGTTTCCTGAAGCAGCTATGATTATTTAATTTGAAAATATTTACATATCTAGATCTCATTTGCCTGGAACACAAAACTTCTTTAGGCAATTTGGCTGAATTGAAATGGCAAGTTGGCACGTGCCTTGTTAACTGGATACAAGAAAAGAGAAAATATTTGCTGTGTTTGGCACTAACCTCACCTTGCCAACTCATTTTTTAAAATGAATACAAAATGTCCATTGGTCTGATTCTATACTGAAGGTATTTTAGAGGTCCATTTTCTGCCTCTAAAACTTGGCAGGAGTTGCCAGATCTCCAGCATCTTGACAGGATAAATAAGATGCTTTGAGTTGCCTTGCTTGTATTTAAGTGCTTTTAGGTTAGATCAACAGTGAGCAGGGTTTGCTTCAAATTCTAACTCAGTCACACAATAACCTCAATAAAGTAGACCTGTTGTCCTGAGGGCTTCCATCATGAGTCTTTTGGAATAAATGTTAATCTTGCTCTTTGCTGTTTTTAAGAGATAATTGCATTTTATTTTTATGGGTATTTGGAGCAGAGTTTCTTTGTAATGCATTTTGGGGTTTTACTATTCACTAGGGTGTTTATCAGTCCCTGGCTTCTACCCACTAGAAGCTAAAAAGCATCTCTGCTGGCAGTATCTCTATATAGTCCCTGGACACTGCATTATGTCCTGTTAAGAGCCGTTGTTGAGATCAGATACTTTCTTAGATGAATGTGCTAACAGTGGCCAGCAGACAAGTGAGGGACCCAAGATCTGTTCAGGTCAGGGACAGGGTTGATGACCTCTGAGCACTGAATTCTTCTGAGTGGTAGAATTTGAACCTTAGCCTGTTTTGTCTGTTAGAACATGTTGGGAAGGTTAGCAGAGCTGTCTGGCACATGCTGCAATAGAACGGTCCTCATTGGCCAGGCAAAGCCTGGGGTTCTGAGAGTGCCTGTTTTCCTCTTCCCCTGGTGTATTCTTTCCTAGTGAAAGGAGGGGAAAGAGAATTGCTTTTGGTTTTAAGAAATTCTTTCCTCTGATCCACACTACTTTAAAATGCTTTTTCTTCTCTTTAGACGAAGATCAAATTCTTGGGATAGGAGGACCTTGTAGGGTTATTGTGTTTTGATGTCATCAAAAAAAATGTTGACTCTTTGAACTCTGGAGATATTTTTGTTTGAATGGAAATTGCAACTTGCAGACATACCCTTGGTAACTGTACAGGTAGTTGGCAGAAATATTTGGCCATTTCATCAGTGATGAATTTAGCCATGTAGCAAATTTAGTTTAAGGTTTCACTCCTCAACGCTGGTCGTCATTCACTTTGTGTTTTCAAAAAGCATAGACTCTGTAGCCTTACCTAGACCTTCTGTGTCAGGCTATCCGGGCTGTTGGATTGTGCAGTATAGTTGGCAAAACACTAGTATAGGCCAGTGTTTTTGAGTGCTTGCTGGTCTCAGGTGCCTACCCTCTTGCTGGCTCTCTCTGGTATAGGAAGATTATGCCTGATCATAGCAGCTGATCTCTATCCTTCTGTTTCATCTTAATCCACTTCAACATTTAAATTACTGAATTCATTTATTGAAATTGATGGATTCAAAGGAAAGTCATTTACAGACTTTTACTTTAAGTAAATACATCTTGAAGTTGATTGACACATACTGATCCCTTTGTGAGTCATTATAAGTTTTCGTTGTTATTAAGTCAGAAGAAGCAGTAGTGTAGCTTCTGCAGCCTTGCTCTTACCCTATGCAGTCTGGTCGAGTGGCTTTCTGTTTGTTTTGTGATAGTGGTGGGTATTGAACTTGGGACTTTCATACATGATAGGCAAGTACTCTCCTACTCAGAGTATCTTTACCTTTTCCTTTGAAATAGAGGCTAAGTTTTCAGACTGGCCTTGTAGCCCAGTCAGGCCTCTTGATTTGGCCTCCTGAGTACCTGAGGTTATAGATAGGAGCCACCCAGCCCAACTTTATTTGTCCTTTAATATTAAAGACAGGTGAGTGTAGTTTGCCCTAGTTGTGAATCATGGGCCAGTACTTATTTTCACTAATTTCTTTCATTGGTTTCCTTAAAGATATGTTTAAAATTAGTTTGCATTGTAGTTATGTACTGGGATTTAAAAGGTTAACAACTATTGTAAACAGCCTTCCACAAAGTAATGTAATTTATTTTCCTGTAACTAAAACAGAGAATTCAGTATGCAAAAACAGATTCCGATATAATATCTAAAATGCGTGGCACTTTTGCTGACAAGGAAAAGAAAAAGGAAAAGAAGAAAGCTAAAACCATGGAACAGGCTGCAGCAGCTGCAAACAAGAAGCCTGGGCAGGTGAGACAGAAAAGTGTGTGTGTGTGTGTGTGTGTGTCTGTGTCTGTGTCTGTGTCTGTGTCTGTGTCTGTGTCTGTGTCTGTGTGTCTGTGTGTTGTTCGCTCGCACACGCGCGCGCGCGCGCGCGCACTGCATGTGTGTGTGGGGGGGGGCGTTTCTCTGTGTAGCCCTGGCTCTCCTGGAACTGGCTCTGTAGCCCAGACTGACCTCAAACTCACAGAGATTTCTGCCTCTCCAGTGCTGGGATTAAATGCTTTCACCACCACCACCACCCTGCTAAAGGTGAAGTTTTATATATGTGTATATATACATACATACATAAATACATACATACATATGCATATACGTATAAATTTTATTTAAATTAGAACAATCTTATTTTACATATCAGTCCAAGTTTGCTCTGCCTCCCATCTTCCCATTCCCCCCATTGACCCCCCCATCCCATCCCCCATCCACTCCTTAGGGAGGGTGAAGCCTTTCATGAGGGACCATCAAAAATCTGTCAAGTCATTTGGGGTAGGGCCTAGGCCCTCCCCTGTGCGTCTAGGCTAAGAGACTTTCCCCCCATGGAGAATGGGCTCCCAAAGTCCATTTGTGCACTAGGGATACATCCTGGTTCCACTGTCAGGGGCCCCATAGACTGCCTAGTCCTCCTACCTGACACCCACATTCAGGGGGCCTGGTTTGGTCCTATATTGGTTCCCTAGCTGTCAAACTGAGGTTCATGAATTCCCACTAGCTAAGGTCAACTGTTCCTGTGGGTTTTCCCAGCATGGTCTTGACTGAGCCGAACTCCTGGAATCCAGTTGTAGAGATGGAGGAGTGATGAATGAAGTTTTAAGAAGCTGGGATAACAAAATTCTAAAATTCTAGGTTTATATTTAAGGAACAATTTATAATACCAGCCTTTACACTTAGAGGTTTGCAATAAACAGTACTAATCTGATTTACATATTGTTTTTGACATCTTTATCTAAAACCCTACTTATTGGTATTTTTCTTAAATTCTTCCTATAAATCATATGCAGTCTCTTCATCATGAGTATCTTACTCAGAGCCTCTGAACAATTCAAGAGGCAAAAATTGAAATCCAGTAGAAGTGAAATTATTCAAAAAAGTAGTTACCTCTGAGTTAATTATTTAAATCATTTTGATTCTTTGATTTTGATTGTATAATGCTTATGGTTTTTTTTTTTTTTTTTAAGTAAGACTCTCTCTGTCTTTATCTCTATTTCTCTATCTCAGCTCTTGTAACCTAGAGGAGTCTGTTCACCCTTGTGACCCTCCTGCCTCAGCCACACAGCACACTTGGTCTCTCCATCATTTAAAGTTTAATGTTAAAGCCAGGTGTGGTGGTACACACCTTTAGTCCCAGCACTGGGGAGGCAGAGGCAGGTAGCCTGGTCTAAATAGTGAATTCCAGGATACCTGAACTACATAGTAAAATCCTGTCTCAAAATAAATAAATAAAAATTCAAATGTTAAGGTTTATGATGTGGTCTATAGAGTTGAGAGACATACATTTCAATTTACAAGCTAAGTAAATAGTTTAAGACATCTTAAGGTAAAATGGAATAAGGTATCTTTTACAGTGAATTTAATGTTGATTTATGTTATAAATTGCAGTTGCTTTTTACCATGACTGAAATTCAGTCATTTCTTAATGCCAATTTCTTTTTTGTAGGGAACACCAAATTCGGCTAATACTCAAGGAAACGCAGCACCAAATCCTCAGGTAATGTTTTTCTTCATGGGGTGCTTACCTTAAGATCATAAAAATTATGGCAGTATTAGTGTTCATGTCTGCAAAAGCAAGTAAATCCATTCACAAGACATAATTGCCTGTCACTTTAAGAAACTTACTCTAAGATGAAGAAAACAAAACCAGGCCTGATTTCTGTTTTCCATGAATTGGGGACAAGATCAAAAAGGCAGGGGGTGTAAGGCCTGAGAAAGGGCTTTTGGTTTGGGTCGGGCACTTGTCAGCACTTCACAGACATGTGGTCAGAGGACCTTGGGAGGGGCTGTTTCCACCCCAGGTGTCTGACACTGCCCTGTCTTTCTCAGATTCATAGTGGGCAATGGTGTTTAAGTTTTCTGCTTTCAGTAGAGTCTAAATTATACAGTCTGACGTGTCCACAACTTCTCAGTATTACAGTTGTGTGCGTTTGATTTTTTCCTCTCCTTTGGTGTTGGTGACTGACTCCTGGGCCTAGCCTATGCTAGGCAAATGCTATACCACTGAGCTGTCCAATACCCCTTAGCCCCTCTGAGACAGTCTTGATTCTGCTCTCAAACCTCTCAATCCTCTTGTCTCAGCCTCCTGAGTGCTGGGATTACAGATAGTTGTCACCATACTTGATCTTTTATGATCTTTCTTTCTATTCCTTGAACTCTTTCAGAACTTGTAGTCAATTTACAAATACCAGCACTTAATTCTCTATCTTGAGCTGTTCAATAATTATTTTTTACACTTGATCTTTTCTGTCCATGTAATTAGCAAGTAGACAGAGTTTCTTCTTATATGTAAGTCTTTTATACACTCCCTGTAGACTCAGGATGGGGTGCCAAGCATGTGACTTAATGTCTAATATTCTGCTCAGTTATGTTTGTTTTATATTAGTAGACAAAGTACATGCCATTTACTGTGTACATGCATGCACAGGAACACACAGAGTAGATGCCAGCAGGGTGTGATTGTCAATAGTAATGTTTCAGTTTAGAATGATGAGCTGAGGAGGTCTATGTTGCTGCCTTTTCCAGTTTTTAGACTTTGAATTCTGTATTCCAGGTCACAGATTTCCCCAGTTAGCACTGGTGCTTCACCTATAAATACTGTTTTCACAGAATCATAACCTTCCATACTTGGGGTATCCTAACTTGAATGTTGGCTTCCCTATTGTTAGGTTTTTAATCTGTATCTCTGGCGTCATTGTGTTTTCAGCTTTTGTTTTAGTGTGTTAAGATTTCACAGGCGCATATAGGCTGCAATGTAGTTCTCTGAAGAAGTTTTCATTTTTTCTCACAGCTAAATACTTCACAGCACAGTTTATATTCACAAGCTAATTTTGCCTTTTGTTTCTAATAGGTCCCTGATTATCCTCCAAACTACATCCTATTCCTTAATAATTTACCAGAAGAGACGAATGAGATGATGTTATCCATGCTGTTCAATCAGTAAGTTCTTTACTAAACAGATCTGTTTGTAGTAGCCTTCTAACAGGACAAATAGTGCTTCTATGGACTGAGTTCATTTGTCACCCCACAGCAGTAGTTCTCTGTAGGGTCATTGATTTAGTCTGGTACTAATCATGGATTGGAGCCTAAGTTAAGCTCTAAGCTTAACGAATAAAAGGATAGATTTTCTCTGTTGGAGTTATTCTAATAAATGGGTAAAACAGGAAACAAACCTTTGACATACTGACAGTTGTGGAATTAGTGTGGACTCTTGCATTTCCTTGATGGTACAATTTTATGTCAGGTGCCTCCATCCTACTTGGGATTCTTGATTGAATGTAATTAGTTTTCCTAGACCAATAGCAAGTTGTTCAACAAATTTATTCTACATTTGCCTGTGTTTATTGCTTTTGTTTTTTCTAGGTTCCCTGGTTTCAAGGAAGTTCGCTTGGTACCTGGGAGGCATGACATTGCATTTGTAGAATTTGAAAATGATGGGCAGGCCGGAGCTGCCAGAGATGCTTTACAAGGGTTTAAGATCACACCATCCCATGCTATGAAGATTACCTATGCCAAGAAATAACATTTGGATTAGGCAGTTTGAAAGGACTTGGTATTATTTATAGTGTTTGTTTTGATAACATTTGGTCAAGTCATTTTAATGGTTGGAAATGAAAGTGAAGTTTGGGAGAAAAAGGCACCTAATATTTTTTTTAGTTTTGGTGAACTGTGTGAAATCTGAAGCCTTAATTTTGTACAATAAACTTTTATTTGTATTTTGTGTACTGGACACTGTTTACTGGTCTGTTCAGCCATCAAATGCTTATTTCAGTATAGAGCACATCTGACAGTGTGTGAAACTCCAGTGGAAGTTTGTGTTGTTTGGGAGCAAAAAATGATGCCCAAGTTGAAGGGAGCAGATTGCAGCAACTAACAGTACGTTGGTAAAATGATGGACTTGCTGTTAGAAAACATGGCATTTATCTTCTTCAGCACACTGAGCATAGTACTTTGCTGGAATGGGGATTCATGAAGTATTAAATAATGGCCATTTGATAACAGCTGCTTACTATTCGCTAGAAAAATGAGAACTAGGACTGCTGTCTTCAGTGGAACATTTTACTCTTCCCCTTTTTAAACAAGGTTAATATCTAGTTTGAATACTGAATGACTTTCAAGTGTCCCAGACTTGGTAGTGCCTGCTATAATTCCAGCACTATGGAGGCAGAAGCAGGAGGATCACTACAAGTTCAAAACTAGGTTTAGCTGTTCAGTGAGACCCTGCCTCAAAATAAATAGATAAGTAAGTGAATAAAATGTCAGACCTCCAGAGGGAATCTTTAATGTTTCCTAAAAAGCTGATCCTCCTCCTTTGTGACACTGAGGGTGTGTGCAGGTTAGCCGTTAGGCATGCAGTCTGCCACTGATCGTCATGACCCCTGCCTATTCTTTAGGGTTGTTGCTTTTGTTTTGAGACAAGATTTTGCCGTGTAGCCCAGGCTAACCCCAAACTCCCACCCACGTGTGCCCCTATTGAAGCTCTTTGTAATTGTTAAACAGCTATAGATTTCCAAAAGCCACTTCTCTGGTTTTGCTTTATACTAACGACTGGATTTTCTCCTACTAATGAAGCCATCTTTAGAAGTTGGCTTTATTTTTCAAATATAGCACATAATGAAAAATACTATTTTTTGATATTCTTGTGAAAACATTTCTGTAAAGCTCCTTTATCATTTAGAATTTTTCTTGTGTGCCTACAGAAAGGTCATTTTTAGATTTAGATAGAGACCTTTTATTACTCATTAATGTGTTAAGAAATCAACAAAATGAGTTATTTGTAGAACTACTATAGCAAAGACATTTTTTCCAAATAAATGTGAAATTTATCCAACCAGCAAAACTACTGTGACAGATAAGTGATTGCTTAGGGTGGCAGTGTCTGGGATCCGGGGATGTTATAACTCAATTGTGATTATGACATGATTGTATTCAATTGCTCAAACTGACAGAACAGTAAAAAGGGCACATTTTACTGTAAGCATGATCTATCTGTTAGATGCAGCAATTTGTAACATTAATGGATAGACATTTGGGTTTAGGAATTAAATGTCTGAATATACAAGTAGGGGTTCACACGTGTATCTATGTTAGATTTTGAACAAAAGGGTGACATGTAATTTTAAAATTTTCCATTTTATATGAAACTTTCAGGAATAGTATATAGAACTCCCGCGAGGACTTCTGACAACCCAGTAACTGACAGTTCTGAGTCAGTGGAGAGTATGTTCCTCTGTTACCTACTACCTTAAATTTTAAAGGCTCTTTTATTTTCCCTCTTTAATATCATGAGTCTGTGGATCACACATATTATATTTGAGCAAAATTTAGCTAAAATAACATCCTGAGTAGAAAAACTATCTTAGTATAAGCAATTATAAAATAGGAAAATATGCAGAGCCAAAATTTCTATATTTAGTCTATTACAGCTTAAAAAAATAGTTATTACACCTTAGAAAAAAATATTCTGTCCAGTTTAGAATAGCAAAGAGGATGACCAGGGAATACACCGCAGGGTGGCCTGGAGACTCACTGTTGGGTCCAGTAATGGCAGACTGGACCCAGAGAATTCTTTACAGTGTTTTCTTTTTTGCTGGAGAGCTAGCTAGCTAGAAGTAACCTGTGACGGTGTGAACCTATGGAGCTGAACATCACAGGATCACTCACCAGTGTAGGGTCCTGACAACCAGGCCTTTCCTGGAAGCAACCAAACTTAGAAGTATTGCTGTCTATCCCCCAGTGGACCTGTTCCCCCCACTGAATGATCTTCCTTCTCAACCAGAAACACAAAAAAGCTACGGGGGAAGGGGAGGTTAGTTTTGAAGGACCACCAAGAACATTTTCAAATTGCCTCACTGTCCTTTTTAATAATACCAGTTGTACTTTAATCTCATTCCCCACTGAATTTGGAGTTAATGGTCAGCATGTGAGTAGTGAAGCAGACTCGCCCATGGAGTTAGATCATCTGAATTAGGATCCAATTTACAGATTTCACAGAGGTCAGGGCTGTACCTTAAGCCCACAGATTCTGAACATGGGAGAGCCAACTGGAGCATGGTATTAAATTTTAAACTCCCATTCTCAAGTAGAGTGCACATCAGCCACATAGGGTTATGACCAAGCCATATCAAGGAAGATCAAGATGTTTCTTAACTTGAGGTTGAAGGGATTGAATCACACACACACACACACACACACACACACACGATGGAGCCAAGGGATGAGTATGACAGAGAAACATGGAAAATGTGTGAGGAGATGAGGTGAAAGGTGCCGTTTACTTTTCCTGAGTCATATGACTGAATGGTGCATCCATCCACCAGGATGTTTGAATTTATTGAACCTGTATTTCACCCTATGCCCTATAATGAGGGAACTGGGCCTGGGATGAAATTCTTGAGGCTGGACATTTTCTCAGCTGTTGATTTATTATAATGGTGACTGAACCCAGGACTTTGTGTATGCTAGGCAAGAGCCCAACCCTCTCTCTCTGTTTTTGAGCCAGGGTCTCACAAAGGGTGAGCAGATAGGCAGTGGGCAGCAGGCTACACACTAGTAGTAGATGAAACTGCTGGCCTAACCTGGGAATTCTCCCTGAAGGACTCGGAGCTGGGTCCTAAAGAACACAGCAGGAATAATTAAAGAAAGGAAGGGAAAGAAAGAAAAAAAAAATCTGAAGATAATGTACACACTTACGATTGAAGAGTGAGACATTCATGGAAAACAGAGGTCTGTAAGCTGTTTGGCCTAATCATCAGGGCCAGTGTGCATCACAAGGATGCTATTGGGAGAGTATTCCTTCACTGTCTTTTTGATGAGAAGAATTCACAGGTGAAACACAATTTAACACACGTTTATTTAGCAAAGCAAAGCAGAAGAAAGCGGGCAAGGTGGGAGTAGTCTGAGATCGGTCCCTGGTGCCTTAGCATCTGACCAGGGGACCAGTCTAACCCAAGGGGCAGCCACTGAGTCACAGCTGCAGCTTCTTTGCTCACCTTATACCTAACTCCATGCCTACCCAGTTTCTGCTCCAGGTGCTGCAGCCTGTCCTTAGACTTGAAAGGAGACACAGGCTGCTTTTGAGAATGACAGGCTGAACGTGTAAAGATAAAAGGATGGGAGAACATAGCTGAAAATGCAGAAAAAGAAGGGAAATGGGCTCTGGTGAGAAATCTCCAGTGGCTGAAGTGTCTTGAGCATGGCATTAGACACAGTTGCTTGGGTCTACATTGTCATAAATCTAATTAAATTCATATTTGCCTACTGCAAATACTAGAATAACCTGTGCCTTCCCAGGGTCATGGTACCTAGAAGGCTTGGCATCACCTTTGTTTGTTTACCCTCACAAGAGCAATCCAAATTTTACATTAGCCTTAGCTATTTATTATTCATGATAGCTTGGGGTAGACACTTCTGCTCTGCTGTGCACGGTGGGCGTGGCAGTCTTGAGTTTATTGAAGTAGCTGTTTCTTTAAGTAGCTCTAAAATGGCAATTGTCTTTTAGGGCTTATGTTGGCAGCTAATTTGGGACTGGAACAGTCTGAAGACAGCTGTCCAGTCAGAACCAGAGTTAATCAATGTTTTCATTTTCCCACAGATGCTCTTACACCCTTGGATTAAAGGAAGAAAATAAAACAAACCCCACCCTGCTATTTCACTTTCCAAGAGTCACCTTCTCCTTGGTGGGAAGTAGGGAAGACTATTGAAAACCCACTTTTAAATTTGACATTGGTAAAAGACAGTAGCAGTGGATCATAATCCCTCTGGGTGGCCCATGCATAAGGTGGTCAGCAAAGGGCACTTTGGCCCTTGTGGGCTTTATTTTTTCATCTCTACTAAAGACACTGAATGAAAGTGTCTTCCAATTCAGGTAAATTGTGTACAGGATCCTCCCCAGAAAGCACCCACATGGCCTAAAAGCCTTTATACAAACACAAGCAAAACAGTAAAACTATTGCACACATGTACTCCTATCTATGCATAAAGCTACCCCAAATAAGAAACCTTATTTTTGCATTACCAACTTATCCCTTGGAACAGTATTCTACATAAAATAGTTTAATAATTTAAATTCTTGTCCCTAATATTGGATCTCTGAAGCCACATGGTCAGTCAAGTTGAAGAGGACCGACTGAGTGAGCTCTAGTCAACAAAGAGTAGGTGGAGGACTGGGGTTCGCCACATCAGAGAGATGCTCATTCCAAGTCCCTATAAAAAGCAGTCACAAAACAAAACAAAACAAAACATAAAGCTGGGTGGTGGTGGCTCACACCTTTAATCCCAGCACTTGGGAGGCAGAGGCAGGCAGGTCTATGTGAGTTTGAGGCCAGCATGGTCTTCAAAGTCAGTGCCAGGACAGGCTCCAAATCTACACAGAGAACTCCTGTCTCAAATAACAAACAAACAAACAAACAAACAAACAAACAAAAAAAGCAGTTGCATACTGTTTGTCTCCCCTGGTAAATGGTAAACTGGACCATGACTGGTTTTCCTTCAGTGTTAGATCCCACATGCCAAAACAGTACTTTGCATACAGTAGATGCTTAGCTAATCTTTACTAAACAAAGCAATGTATTAATGACTTCTAAAATGTTCCTGAAAAGGTTTTTCAGCACAGGGTATCTTAGCAGTTTGGAGCCAAGGAATACCACAAAATCACACCATGCCATAAACTTCACACAAGAGATTCATTGGGGGAGAAACACAGAAAGGTAGCTGTCTCTGAGAGGGAACAGAGCTCGCAGCAGGCTTGGGGGAGAGGGTGGGCTTTCTAGGGCGTTTGAAGCAGTGATTGGTGGAAGGGTACATCATGAACTGATGTATTGCTTGGCCGTTAACCATGAGAGGTACATATGTCATAGGGGTGACCTGAAGAGGATCACAGAATCTCCCTGATTGCTTTTTTTCTGTACCTCTGTTTCCTTGATGTAAGCTAAGTGCTGTTCTCTGCTATTGGCTTCCATCAAGATAAGCCATGATCCAGATCAATGGGAGCAGGGATCATGGACCTGAACTTCCAAACCTGTAACTCAAAAAGAAATAAACTATTTACCAGTTGATTGTCTCAAGCATTTGTTGTAGAGAGGGAAAGTTAATGAACACAGGAATAAAAAAGGAGTTGCTGCCATTTCCTCATTCACTTATCTCTTGTTTCCACATTGGTAGGATCTGCTTATGGCATGTTATAACCCACCAGTGGCTCAGACCAAACATGACTTCTAAGAAACCTATCACAGAAATTTGTATAAGATTATTTTATATATTATGTAAATCTAAAATTGTAGTAGTTTTACTAAAAATAAATTTTATACTCAAGACATTTTTACTTTTTAAAATGTGTGTGTGTGTGTGTGAGAGAGAGAGAGAGAGAGAGAGAGAGAGAGAGAGAGAGAGATTACATTGTGTGGATGCACATGTGTTCCTGAGGAGTCCTGAAGTTGGCATTGGGTGCCTTCTTCAATTTTTCCCCACTTTATTTATTGAGATTCTTGTTGGACCCAGAGCTTGCTGATTCCAATTAGTCTAGCCAGCCAGCTTGCCTCCAGGATGTCTATGTCTGTCTCTAGTGTGCTAGAATAATAGGTGGGCTACCATGCCTGTGCAGTATTTGTGTGCTTTCTGGGGTTCTGAACCCTATTCTTCAGACTTGTGTAGCAAGTCCTTCATCCAGTGAGCTGTCTCGCCAGTCCGTTTTACATCTTGAACATGTTTTTGCCTTCAGCAAATGTTTTCTCATAAACTGAAAGGATGGGGGTACAAAATAGAAAAATCAACAATAGTTGGCATTCTCACAATCTTCTCAACACTACCCTGCTGGTAGACATTACAGCCACCGCAGATGTAACTTTAACATTGGTGCATCATTTGTGTGGAACAAGAGATAGAACTTGACTCTTTCTGGAAAATGAAATGCTAAACAGCCTCTGGAATCCAGGAGCCAAATTATGAAAGTCAGGGTGGGGGATGGCCCCTTCCTATTGGCTGGGTGTTTAGCCAGAGGTCTGGCTTTCAAATAAAAGAACCACTGAAGTCAGGCAAAGAGTGCTAGTCAAAACAGCGAACAAAGAAGATGGCAAGAATATTGATTCTTTTGCTTGGGGGTCTTGTGGCTCTGTGTGCCGGGAATGGAGTATTTATGGATAAACTTTCTTCTAAGAAGTTGTGTGCAGATGACGAGTGTGTCTGTAAGAAGTTGTTAATGGTTCAGTTTTCATTATCTTTCTATTATATAATCAAAAATATGTCTGGCATAAAGCCAGATTAGACTTCATAGTGAATCTTAAATGTGTGTGTGTGTGTGTGTGTGTGTGTGTGTGTGCCCAGCACTGTGTCTTGTGGTCTGTCTTTGGTGTCTAACTGTGGAGAATTTATTTGCCTAAGATTTTGTTGCAGCTTTTAATCTTCCAGCTTTCTCTTTCTGTTTGAAGCCCAGCTGGACTTTCATACTTTTCTTATGCTTTGCCTTCTTACTCTTAGTAACCTAGTCACTTCTTTTTTTTTCTTCCAGACACTATTTCTCTTGCTAAAGCACAGGAAGATTACAATGCCCCAGACTGTAGGTTCATCAATGTCAAGAAAGGGCAGCAAATCTATGTTTATTCCAAGCTGGTGAAAGAAAATGGAGCTGGAGAGTTTTGGGCTGGCAGTGTAAGATGAGATTTTTATGTTGCTTTTAGCTTTTCCTGGCTTTCCTATCTTCAACCCCTTTAATGCCTAATAGTATCTGTAAAGACAATGTGGGGAATGTAAATGGAAACACAAAAATTCAAATTCATTTTCTGCTGTTGTATTTTTTTAAAAAATCTCATAATAAAATTGAAGGTAAGTCAAATGATGTTTTGAGAAGCAAAAAACCATGCATACTGATGCTTCTACATTACATAAAAGTTGAGTCTCTTTCAAAAAATGTCAGAGCACTTGCCAAGAGGAAGGATTGCCTGTTAGTGGTCTGTCTAAAAGGGAATGTTTCTTCAGGAAATGTTAGAATCCTCTGATTCCTCAGAAGCTGCTGTCTTGAATTAAAATGTACCCACAGACCGTGAAGAACTCATGGAGGAATGAAGCATGGCTGATGTTATCCCAAAGATACATTCTAAATTGATGAAGTATTCGACCAGAATGTATTCTATATATGTCCCTTTGGATTGTTAAGAAGTGGGAGGTATACATACTTTAAAACGAGTGTCTATTTGCTTTAAACTTTTTATTGAAATCCCAGGCAAGCCTGGAGACTGCAGAAAGTGAAGTAGTGTTAAAATAGTGAAAGAACTCAGGCCTGCCCCCAAAAGAACAGACACACCACTCCTGGTGCTGCCAGTGGATTTCAGATTTACTCTCAATTCCCTGCAGTGCACAGCAAAAGGAGAGCTCTGGCTCATGTCTTTTTCATTATGAGGGAAGAAATTTCTCAAACCCCCTGACATCAGCTTTGCACTGACTGCTGCTGTTCTGGGTACACAGGTTTATGGTGACCACCAGGATGAGATGGGAATTGTGGGTTATTTCCCCAGCAACTTGGTTAAAGAGCAACAAGTATATCAGGAGGCCATCAAGGAAGTCCCAACCACGGTAAGCATCTCAGAGGGGGTTGGAGGATGACTCAGATCTTGGGGTAATGTGGACTTGTTCTAAAAAAAGAATATGTCCTTCAATTTACAGTATATGCTGCCTAAGACAGGTGCCAAAGGTGACTTTTATGAGATAGTGACATTTAGGATGTACATATTGACTATCAACTTTGTGACATTGGCACACTTTCTTCACATATTGCAATCACTCTGAGTTTATTTTTTTAATGTTTCAACTTTTTTTATCTGTGCTTCAACTGTATTTTATCTTTATCAGGGATATAATTGAGTGGGGAAATTGTATATTGAATATATACTTCTTGATGCTTAGATGTATACACAAATAATAAAGTGATCACCCAACGCAAGCTGATCCACAATTCACACCTGCAGTTTATATAGTACTCCTACTCCCCCCTCATGTGTGTGTGTGTGAGAGAGAGAGAGACAGAGACAGAGATGGAGAGAGACAGAGAGAGCGAGATAGAGACAGAGAAAGACAGAGAGAGTGCAATGGAGACTGACCTAGCACATTTCAAGTATATAAACAATTCTCTTTCTGTTCTAAATGTAAATTATCCTGGAGGGCATTTCTGGCATAGAGAAAGGAACTAAAAATTTACTAAGCTGTTCTTCCTGATGGTTTTATGAAAAGTAGATTTATTTATGGAAAGCAGAAAAATTAACACCTGTTTTTAAGAAGGTCAAAATATTCTAGAAAATTCTTTGAGTCTTATCTTTGTGGCAGATAGAGTCCGCTTACTCATGAAATAAAATCCTGCTTTTCCTACTGTCCCAGAGTCTTATAAACTGTAGCAGAAAAAAATGGGCCAGAAAAGAAAAGATCCTTTCTGAACTCCTTTGCAAGAGTGTTGTTTTGAAGTGAGTCTCCCAAGCTGAGGACTGTGCTTCAAACATAGCCCAGCCAAACAGACTCAGTTCACCTGTCATCGCGTCATAGCACTGTGCTCCATCTGTTGAGTAACTGCAAACTAGAGGTGGACATGAAGATCCTCATTTTAAATGGTATTTGACTTCAAGTGATAGTTATTTCAAATTCTTAGGTTTCAACCTTGACTTACCATAAATCCAAATCTCTCTATTGTTAAATCTTGTTTTAAATTAAAAATCTACACCGGCTTGGTTTTTGTTTGTTTGTTTGTTTATTTGTTTTTTGTTTTTTGACCAGTCTGAAAATTCAATCATTTCCCCCCAGGATATCGACTTCTTCTGTGAATAAGAAATTAGTTAAAACTGGTGATAAAATGGAAACACAACGATGAAGACAAGAAATAGGAATAACCAAAATGGTGTATCTGCACCTTTCTGGCTTTGTTTGGCGACAGGAGTTCGGATCTCGAAGGAGCCAATATCTGGGAATTGTCAAGTCAGTCTTGTTTTCTTTCCCTGCTCTTCCCACAGGCAGCCACCGAGTGCTGTTTGAGTCACAAAGTCATTTATCAGCAAAGACTTAATGTGTAGTGAAGGGAATCTTCAATAGCTCAGTGATGAACACACAAGGTGTTTTATTTGTAGTTGTTTTTAGATGGTCAGTCTTCCCAGCTCTGGTTCCAGGTTCATAATCTTGGTGAGTTGTAAGTCTGACTTTTGAATGAACATGCTTTCTGTTATTTTTCTCTCTGGTCATTTAAAGTCTTAATACTGTACTTGTCAGGATATTTTCGTATTCTTACTTCTTATATTTGCTACCCTTGGATGTAAGGATATTAGGTATAAAAAGAGTTTTTGGACTAACAAATATTTGGACTGTGTTTCTGGATTTTTTCTTTTAAAAATATTTCACATGTTATTTCAGTGGGGATAACTTTATATTTTAAAAGACCAATTTATGTTTCCTCAAATTTAAATCGATCTGTGTGTATGTATTGGGGTGGCAATCTTTGGAAGCCTTTTCACTCTGTTGCTTGTCTGAATCTTTCTCAAGCTTTGAGTCATCAAAAGGAATAGCCAAATCCAAGTGTGAAGACGTTTTCCTCTGCTTCTGTCTCTGCTTTCACTTCTTGTTTCCACACAAATTCCTCTGAACAAGTGCCATACACTAAGAAGGTACCTTGGAGTGTTACTGAGTAGCCAGGGGTCCCCTTTCATAAGTGAAAAACTGAAATTCATGATGCCTGTGATACCCCACACCAGAAAGCAGAAACAGGAATTGAATTTAAGCTGCATTTTGTCAGAGAGCCCGAAATCTGGGAAGACAGATTCAATGTCCCCCAGTGGGCCACTGTCTCCCAATCTACAACTATAGCAGGTGGTGAACCCCTGCAAAGTTTGTTCTTATCTCTCTGGTGTGGGGTTAGCCTTGCCTTGGAGATTCACAGTGTTGGTAAGTCTGCCCTTTATTGTCCCCATATTCCCACTCATTGTCATCTCTCTCTGTGCAGCAGTGATTCTGTGCACCAAGGCCACTGAGCCTGCACAGAGGCACCACCTAGGTTATGGTCTAGGTTAAAGGCCATCTCCCATCAAACCAAATGTTAGTATTGTGTGCCGGCTAGTTACAGCTTGTGCACGCAGATTCCTTTCTACAAGAAGTACCCAATGTGCTGCAGTAAAATACCAGCATGCCCCCATCTTTTCCACCACCTTTGCAGGTTCCTACTCTCACAGGTTAAAAAAAAAAAAAAAAAAAAGACTTTAAATGGACTCAGAAGAAAACTCCTGGCGGCCTCTGGGAGGAGGAAGTGGGTAATAGGAAGAGAGGAAACCATGTTCTCGGAGGTAGTGATCTCTCCTCAGCTGCTGCAGAGGACTCGGGTGCCCTTTAGAGAACAGGGATGCCCAGCATGCCAGGGAAAGGGGGCTTAGGATTTGGGCTAGTAGTCAACAAAGAGACAGAAAGTGGAGGGAGGGAAGACTATGTTGTTTTGAATTAGAACTCAGAGAGCAGGCTAAGTAGTGAGGATCTTTAAGCAACCGATGGAGAGAAGGACATTTAGGGTATATAGCTTATTGATGGGATACTTTCCCCTCCAATTTTCTTAATGTGTCCTTGGGTATAACAGATAGTTTTCTTGAGTGGTGATTTTCTGTCTAGGTGATTGACAGACCCTGTTTTTGTAATCTTATAATCCTTTGAGCATTTGAGATGCCAAGTTTCTACCTAGAGTCAGAGATGCAATTCAGTTACCTTTCTTTTGATAAAAGATTGTGTAACTGGACCTTGGCACTCATGAACTCAGAGCAGCTATGGTTGCCTGCACAAGACCAGCACAAAATCAAGCCAGTCAATACTGCAGCATGGAGTACAGAGGGGCTTCCTCTAACTGAGGAGCTGTTACTGACAATCGATGGCTACTAGGTGGATGAGAGTCAGTTTGCTTTATGGTTAACCATAGCCATGGTAGGTTAACTGTGTTCCAGTGGATGACTCGATACTCCCTACATCCCTCTTCCAACTTCAAGACTCCTTCCCCATTTTAAATAATCCACTGAGTCCAGTGATGCTACTGGTACCCTCCTGGGCATCTTTTATTGACCTCAGGGCTTCCACATGCTCGAAAGTCAAATTAAGAATCATATTAATCCAATTATGAAGCATATTAAGAATCAGTAGTTCTGAGAATTCCTGCCTATGTTAGTCACAGTGTGCCTTGGTTCTAAACACACATATGCTCTTGTTATGTCTCATTCCCTCATACCACACACTGCCAACAAACACCAACTGAAACACCATGGCTCAGATTTGAGACTACAAGCTTTGACTTGCGGTGCTTTTGTTCTGCAAACGAAGCTGCCTGCTCTTATAGAAAGGCAATGTGTGAATTCTGGAAAGTGGCTTTCCAGTATTTCCTACCATCAGTTCTTGGCATGCATCACATCGGTGTATTTTTGGGTTGCATTGTGTTAGAATATTAGACTTGAAAGACTGCTGTTGGAGTTGCTGACCCCAGTTTCATAAAATATGTTTAATTTTGGTTTGGGATTAGGGCAGAATTTGAAACAGTTTCTGAAATGGCCCTAGACAGGCTTATGCCATTTGTACTGCATATTTATATGAACTAGCACTCTCAGCACTGACAAATAGAAATGGAAATATTGATCACCTCTGAAAAATAGTACAATGCTCTAATTCCCATAGTGCCAAATATGAAAACAACATTCCTTTTAAAAATTATTTTCTTTTGTTATTAAGAGAGAGAGAGTGAGGAAGGGACAAAGGAAGGGAGGGAGGGAGGAAGGGAGAGAGAGAGGGAGAGAGAGAGAGAGAGAGAGAGAGAGAGAGAGAGAGAGCATGCAAAGGTACATATGTGAAGGTCAGAGGTCAATCTCGGGAGTCAGTTATCTCCTACTACCTTGTGGGATCTCAGGCTAGAGTCATCAGGGTTGCATGCCAGTACCTTTGCCCACTAAGCCTTGCTACCTACCCAAGAGATTTCTTTATGTAAAAATAAATAAGCATAGCTACCTCAATCAAAGCAAATTTTGATTGGTATGATTTTTGTGTTTAGTAAATTGTAATATTTTATACATACCAAAGAATCATTTTAATATACATTTCTGTATGGTTTAGTATCACTAAATGTTTGATTTTTATACCTGCTCTATATATGCATATACTCAAAATTGTGTAAAAGCTTCTTGGATACAAAAGGGTTGTGAGTGAAAAAAATCCAAGAAGTCCTGAAAATAATGACAATGAAGTTTCAGAAACAGAAGAAAGGCAAGAGGAGTTGGTATCCTGTACAGCATCTAGTCAATAAAATGGATTTCCTAGAAATCTGTGGGGGTTGATGGGATAACTTGGTTTGTTATGAAGACATGAATTTGGTGCCCAGCATCCAGGTGTAAAAACAAACAAACAAATAAAACAAAACACAAGTATGATGGCGCACACTTGAAATCCCAGAGCTGGAGAGGTAGAGACAGGTGGGATCCCTGAGGGTCACTGTTTAGCTAGCTAGCCGGACTTAGTGAGAGATCCTGTCTCAAACAACAAACTTGACATTCCAAGTTGACCTCTGCCCTCTGGGTGCACACAACAAACTACAAGTGCACTCACCACCTACTTGATACCAAATTTGTCAGGTAGTTTGGTGGTTAGAGAAGCTGGTGATGAGTAGAAAGCCCAGACTATGGTGGTGATTTGAAGTAATGTTTACTGCAGCTCCTGGCCATGCGTGCATGGATAAAGGTTCGAATTTCTTTAAACCTCTGTCTTCTTGACTTCACATAGGTTAGCATCATCTCCACAACTGGGTTGTAGCAAGAATTAACTATAGCTTACGTGCATGATGCAGACACCGGAGAGCCTTTAAGTGAGAGTGGTGTTCAGGCTTTTGTCATTGGTGTAACAATTATCTTGCTTCCCAATTCATTCATTCTCAATGTGGGAATAGCAATGTTTTGCAGGCAATCATAATTCACTTTGAGCATAATTATGAAAATTGACGGAGATGAGACATTCTGCACAAAACCACTCCACACAGTACACAATACATATTAGATACAAATAAAAAGTTGGAAGGTTTGACAACACCTGTAAGACATTAGAGGAAGCAGTGTTCTTGTTTTTTAAGTGAATTAATCTTTTTTAAAATGTATTTGGCTTTTATTTATTTTCCCTCATGACTTCCCACTGCCAATGATTACATAAGATATACTCGGAAGGCAACATATATGTTTTGAAACAACAAGCTTACATGTCAACAAGTGTACCTTAGACTTTAGTAGATGGACTAGAATAAGCATTTTTCTCTGCCCACATAACTAGACAATGTAAGCATCATCCCAGGTAATGACTGTTTACCAGTGCCCAGAAGTGCTCATTCTTCAGTCTGCTAACTAATCCAGCACATCCAGGGGCAATGGTGATCTTGTCTACTATTCCTTGTTTTTTTTTTTCCATTTTTAAAATTAGAAACAAGCTTCTTTTATATGTCAATCCTAGTTCCCTCTCCCTCCCCTCCTCCCCTGGCCCTCTTTTTGCTCCCCCAATCCCAACCCCTTTTTGCTCCCCATGGGAGCTCTTCAAAGTCTGTCATATCATTTGGTACAGGGCCTAGACCTTCCCCTGTGTGTCTAGGCAGAGAGAGTATCCCTCCATTTGGAGAGGGCTCCCAAAGTCCATTCGTATACTCCAGATAAATACTGATCCACTACCAGAGGCCCTCTCTGCAACTGGATTCCAGAGTTCATCTCAGTGTTTAACTGTGGGTGTCTGCTTCTGCTTCCAGCAGCCTCATGAAGGAGCTCTACTATATACAGATGATAAATGGGCTG